TTAGTAAGTGAGCAAGTGTTGATGAGTGAGTGATTTAGTAAGTGAGCAAGCGTTGAGAAATGAGCGATTTAGTAAGTGAGCAAGCGTTGAGAAATGAGTGATTTAGTAAGTGAGCAAGTGTTGATGAGTGAGTGATTTAGTAAATGAGCAAGTGTTGATGAGTGAGTGATTTAGTAAGTGAGCAAGTGTTGATGAGTGAGCGATTTAGTAAGTGAGCAAGTGTTGATGAGTGAGTGATTTAGTAAGTGAGCAAGCGTTGATGAGTGAGTGATTTAGTAAGTGAGCAAGTGTTGATGAGTGAGTGATTTAGTAAGTGAGCAAGTGTTGATGAGTGAGTGATTTAGTAAGTGAGCAAGTGTTGATGAGTGAGTGATTTAGTAAGTGAGCAAGTGTTGATGAGTGAGTGATTTAGTAAGTGAGCAAGTGTTGATGAGTGAGCGATTTAGTAAGTGAGCAAGTGTTGAGAAATGAGCGATTTAGTAAGTGAGCAAGTGTTGATGAGTGAGTGATTTAGTAAGTGAGCAAGCGTTGATGAGTGAGTGATTTAGTAAATGAGCAAGTGTTGATGAGTGAGTGATTTAGTAAGTGAGCAAGTGTTGATGAGTGAGTGATTTAGTAAGTGAGCAAGTGTCGATGAGTGAGTGATTTAGTAAGTGAGCAAGCGTTGATGAGTGAGTGATTTAGTAAATGAGCAAGTGTTGATGAGTGAGTGATTTAGTAAGTGAGCAAGTGTTGATGAGTGAGTGATTTAGTAAGTGAGCAAGTGTTGATGAGTGAGTGATTTAGTAAGTGAGCAAGTGTTGATGAGTGAGTGATTTAGTAAGTGAGCAAGTGTTGATGAGTGAGTGATTTAGTAAGTGAGCAAGTGTTGATGAGTGAGTGATTTAGTAAGTGAGCAAGTGTTGATGAGTGAGTGATTTAGTAAGTGAGCAAGTGTTGATGAGTGAGTGATTTAGTAAGTGAGCAAGTGTTGATGAGTGAGTGATTTAGTAAGTGAGCAAGCGTTGATAAATGAGTGATTTAGTAAGTGAGCAAGTGTTGATGAGTGAGTGATTTAGTAAGTGAGCAAGTGTTGATGAGTGAGTGATTTAGTAAGTGAGCAAGTGTTGATGAGTGAGTGATTTAGTAAGTGAGCAAGCGTTGATAAATGAGTGATTTAGTAAGTGAGCAAGTGTTGATGAGTGAGTGATTTAGTAAGTGAGCAAGTGTTGATGAGTGAGTGATTTAGTAAGTGAGCAAGTGTTGATGAGTGAGTGATTTAGTAAGTGAGCAAGTGTTGATGAGTGAGTGATTTAGTAAGTGAGCAAGCGTTGATAAATGAGTGATTTAGTAAGTGAGCAAGTGTTGATGAGTGAGTGATTTAGTAAGTGAGCAAGTGTTGATGAGTGAGTGATTTAGTAAGTGAGCAAGTGTTGATGAGTGAGTGATTTAGTAAGTGAGCAAGTGTTGATGAGTGAGTGATTTAGTAAGTGAGCAAGTGTTGATGAGTGAGTGATTTAGTAAGTGAGCAAGTGTTGATGAGTGAGTGATTTAGTAAGTGAGCAAGTGTTGATGAGTGAGTGATTTAGTAAGTGAGCAAGTGTTGATGAGTGAGTGATTTAGTAAGTGAGCAAGTGTTGATGAGTGAGTGATTTAGTAAGTGAGCAAGTGTTGATGAGTGAGTGATTTAGTAAGTGAGCAAGTGTTGATGAGTGAGTGATTTAGTAAGTGAGCAAGTGTTGATGAGTGAGTGATTTAGTAAGTGAGCAAGTGTTGATGAGTGAGTGATTTAGTAAGTGAGCAAGTGTTGATGAGTGAGTGATTTAGTAAGTGAGCAAGTGTTGATGAGTGAGTGATTTAGTAAGTGAGCAAGTGTTGATGAGTGAGTGATTTAGTAAGTGAGCAAGTGTTGATAAATGAGCGATTTAGTAAATGAGCAAGTGTTGATGAGTGAGTGATTTAGTAAGTGAGCAAGTGTTGATGAGTGAGTGATTTAGTAAGTGAGCAAGTGTTGATGAGTGAGTGAATGAGCGTTGATAAGTGAGTGAGTGAGCGTTGATAAGTGAGTGAGCGAGCGTTGATAAGTGAGTGAGTGAGCGTCGATAAGTCAGTGAGCGTCGATAAGTGAGTGAGTGAGCGTTGATAAGTGAGTGAGTGAGCGTTGATAAGTGAGTGAGTGAGCGAGCGTTGATAAGTGAGTGAGTGAGCCAGCATTGATAAGTGAGTGAGTGAGCGAGCGTTGATAAGTGAGTGAGTGAGCCAGCATTGATAAGTGAGTGAGTGAGCGAGCGTTGATAAGTGAGTGAGTGAGTGAGCCAGCATTGATAAGTGAGTGATTTAGTCCCACCTGTAATGTCTGAGGCTCTCACCAGGACACCAAGAGTTAGAAGAAAGTAGCAAATTAATTGGACCGACGCCATTCTGAAACAAGATAAACACTAGGTGGAACTTAAAACTCACAATTTGAAATATCTATACATCTTACACAGTCGAGCCTAGAACTGGAAAACTTGTGATTGATAGCATGATCAAATTTTCACGACAACTATAGTTCAAATCATTTCTCACTCCAAACGAAGTCTGATTTTAGATTAGCATCACGGAATCTATACTGAGCCAAATTAAAAACTTCACATTTTTAAAAGTAATCCCATATATGATATACAACGGACACATGTATCAGAGAAGGTAATTTTTAATTATTAATGTCCAAAGAAGGTTTTTAATTAACGGTGGTAACCATAATTTGTTCCAAGCACCAAGGTATTCGGTAATAACATCAACAGTTTAAATCATAAGTCCCAAGCACGAGAATCTGATGGCACACAAGTTCAGTAGCGTGTATGGCTACCATGTGCGTTGACAACTACCACACAACGCCTCCGCATGGACCTTGTGATGCTTGTGAACACATGATTGGGAAGACGACGCCATTGTTGCTGCAAAATGGTGCCAAGATCTTGCAAATTCTGTGGTTGGTTCTGGAGAGTGCGCAGACATCTGCCAAGGGCATCCCAGACGTGTTCGATGGGATTGAGGTCGGGAGACCTTGACGTCCAGTCCATGACGCTGACTCCCGCATTCTGAAGGAAATTCCTTGTCAATATTTCTGTGTGGGGTCTGGCATTGTCGTGTTGGAAGATCAAACCGGGTCCATGTGCTGCCATAAAAGGCAGAAGTTCTGGTGTCAGTACCTGGTCGCGGTAAGCAGCAGCGTTGAGGTTGCCACGGATGACAAGACGGAGGTGACGTAAGCCAATCTGACGATCCACTGCTTGTGACGTCACACGTGGTCGACCTGGCCGAGGGCGATCAGCGGTGGTACCCGTTTGCTGTAGACGCGTCTGTAAATCATAAACAGTCCGTCAACTACAACCCATCGTCCTTGCGACTTCAGCTTCGGACGTTCCCGTCTACAACATGCCGATGGTGTGTTCACGTTGCACATTTGAAAGGCGTGGCATGACAAATGGCCTGAAAGACTTTTGTTTTCTTGTGTTTTTCTTTTTCATTGTTAATGCCTGCTAACAAGTAACGTGCGGTATTATGGCCACGTGACCAGTTGCACGTGAAAAACCACTTTTGCCACTATAGTGCTGTGCACATGATTTTGATCGACTCACCTGCACAAAAACGTGTGTTATCAGAAGATAATACGTGGCCATTACTGTTTAAATACACACTAAGGGCCCACACTGATAACTGGTCAAAATGTTAAAATTTTAGGATTGTGAAGTTTTTAATTTGGTTCAGTATAGTTTTGTTCACGTGACCGTCATCTGACACAACTTGGCACCAGTAGTGACCCAGATGTTGACATTGTGGAAGTAAAGCAACAAATTTCTAGTGCATACATAACAGCAGAGTCGATTGTACCTCTATCAAATAGCGATAACTCCAGGTCGTGAAAAGGTGAGCGTATCCTGCCCAACCGGACACATGTAAAGGCAAGTCAATTGTTTACCTAACAAAACTCGGGAACATCACATATACAAGTACAAATAAGGAATTGCATCGATTTGGTCACTGCTGAAATGGTAATTATATTTAACAGTATCTCTAAGCCAGACAGAGCATTCAACACAGCCATGTATTGAACAATCCCATCTACATATTGAACAATAGACAGCCATGTATTGAACAATCCCATCTTCGTCTTGAACAATACACAGCCATGTACTGAACAATCCCATCTTCATCCCGAACAATAGACAGCCATGTATTGAACAATCACATCTTCGTCTTGAACAATAGACAGCCATGTATTGAACAATCCCGTGTTCATCCTGAACAATAGACAGCCATGTATTGAACAATCCCGTCTTCGTCCTGGACAGTACACAGCCATGTATTGAACACTCTCATTTTGGTTTTGAACAACCAATGGCAATGTATGGAGCAACCTGATCTTGTTCCCGAACAATAGACAAAAATGTTTTGAACAATCTCACATTGTTCTTAAACAACAAACACCAATGTATTGAACAATCTACCTTGTTCTTGAACATCAAACACCCATGTATTGAACAATCTACCCCTGTTCATTAACAAGAGACAGCCATGTATTGAACAATCCCATTTTCGTCCTGAACAATAGAAAACCTCAAATGAACAATCTCACCTTGGTCCTCAACAACAGATAACCAGGTATTGGACAATCTTACCTCAGTCCTGGTGAAACATGAACAATAGACAACCGTGTACGTTGTATTGAACACTCTCATTTTGGTTTTGAACAACAAATGGCAATGTATGGAGCAACCTTACCATGTTCGTAAACAACAAACACCAATGTATTGAACAATCTACCCCCGTTCTTGAATAACAAACACCCATGTATTGAACAATCTGAACTTGTTGCTGAACAATAGACAACCGTGTATTGAACACGGTTGTCCTCAACAACAGATAACCAGATATTGAACAATCTTACCTCAGCCCTGAAGGAACATCCGTCAGTGTTTTAAACATTCTTACCTTGTTCCTGAACAATAGACAATCATGGATGGAACAATTCTTACCTTGTTCCTGAACAATAGACAACCGTGTATTGAACACTCTCATTTTGGTTTTGAACAGCAAACGGCAATGTATGGAGCAACCTTACCTTGTTCCTGAACAACAGTCAGCAGTGTTTTGAACAATCTTACCTTGTTCTTGAACAACAAACACCCATGTTTTGAACAATCTCACCTTGTCCTTGAACAACAGACAACCATGTGTTGAAGAATCTCACCCAGTTCCGAAACAAACAAACAAACACCCATGTATACACATTTGTAGCTTGTTCCTGAACGAACGACAACCATGTTTTCAACAACCTCATCTTGCTCCTGAACAACAAACACCCATCTAATGAACAATCTTACTTCAATCAAACATCCGCCAGTGTTTTAAACATTCTTACCTTGTTCCTGAACAATGGACAACCGAGTATTGAACAATGTTACCTTGTTCCTGAACAATAGACAACCGAGTATTGAACAATGTTACCTTGTTCCTGAACAATGGACAACCACGAATTGGACAAACGCACCTTCTTCGTGGACAATAAACACCCATGCACTGAACAGTCTTACCTCGTTCCTGAACATCAGACAGCAAATTATTGAACATCTGTACTTGTTTGCGACAACCAGACACCCAACCATTCAACACTTTATCATGTTTTGTGAACTGTCAGATCGATCACTTCACTACATTTTGTTGGCAAAGAAGAGAAGCAATTGCCATGAATTATGGATCAGTAGTAAATTCATGAAAGAGAAGCACTCGTTCACCTGCATGTCATATATTCTTCTGCCATACGGTACAGGTGATACAGCCTAGATTCTACTGCTAGATGATACAGGTGATATAGCCTATATTCTACTGCTATACGATACAAGTGATATAGCCTATATTCTACTGCTATACGATACACGTGATATAGCCTATATTCTACTGCTATACGATGCAGGTGATATAGCCTATATTCTACTGCTATACGATGCAGGTGATATAGCCTATATTCTACTGCTATATGATGCAGGTGATATAGCCTATATTCTACTGCTATATGATGCAGGTGATATAGCCTATATTCTACTGCTATACGATACAGGTGATATAGCCTATATTCTACTGCTATACGATGCAGGTGATATAGCCTATATTCTACTGCTATATGATACAGGTGATAGGGCCTATATTCTACTGCTATACGATACAGGTGATATAGCCTATATTCTACTGCTATACGATACAGGTGATATAGCCTATATTCTACTGCTATATGATGCAGGTGATATAGCCTATATTCTACTGCTATACGATACAGGTGATATAGCCTATATTCTACTGCTATACGATGCAGGTGATATAGCCTATATTCTACTGCTATATGATGCAGGTGATATAGCCTATATTCTACTGCTATATGATACAGGTGATATAGCCTATATTCTACTGCTATACGATGCAGGTGATATGGCCTATATTCTACTGCTATACGATGCAGGTGATATAGCCTATATTCTACTGCTATATGATGCAGGTGATATAGCCTATATTCTACTGCTATACGATACAGGTGATATAGCCTATATTCTACTGCTATACGATGCAGGTGATATAGCCTATATTCTACTGCTATATGATGCAGGTGATATAGCCTATATTCTACTGCTATATGATACAGGTGATAGGGCCTATATTCTACTGCTATACGATACAGGTGATATAGCCTATATTCTACTGCTATATGATGCAGGTGATATAGCCTATATTCTACTGCTATATGATACAGGTGATAGGGCCTATATTCTACTGCTATACGATACAGGTGATATAGCCTATATTCTACTGCTATACGATACAGGTGATATAGCCTATATTCTACTGCTATATGATGCAGGTGATATAGCCTATATTCTACTGCTATACGATACAGGTGATATAGCCTATATTCTACTGCTATACGATGCAGGTGATATAGCCTATATTCTACTGCTATATGATGCAGGTGATATAGCCTATATTCTACTGCTATATGATACAGGTGATAGGGCCTATATTCTACTGCTATACGATGCAGGTGATATGGCCTATATTCTACTGCTATACGATGCAGGTGATATAGCCTATATTCTACTGCTATATGATGCAGGTGATATAGCCTATATTCTACTGCTATACGATACAGGTGATATAGCCTATATTCTACTGCTATACGATGCAGGTGATATAGCCTATATTCTACTGCTATATGATGCAGGTGATATAGCCTATATTCTACTGCTATATGATACAGGTGATAGGGCCTATATTCTACTGCTATACGATACAGGTGATATAGCCTATATTCTACTGCTATACGATGCAGGTGATATAGCCTATATTCTACTGCTATATGATGCAGGTGATATAGCCTATATTCTACTGCTATACGATACAGGTGATATAGCCTATATTCTACTGCTATACGATGCAGGTGATATAGCCTATATTCTACTGCTATATGATGCAGGTGATATAGCCTATATTCTACTGCTATATGATACAGGTGATAGGGCCTCTATTCTACTGCTATACGATACAGGTGATATAGCCTATATTCTACTGCTATACGATACAGGTGATATAGCCTATATTCTCCTGCTATACGATACAGGTGATGTAGCCTAGATTCTACTGCTATACGATGCAGGTGATATAGCCTATATTCTCCTGCTAAAAAGTATAGGTGTGTTAGAGGGTCGGTAGTGTAGGCTCAGTGACTTGACTAGTTGTGTGTGAGTGAGCTTTGTTGGAGGGTCGGGTGTGTATCGGTGACGTGACTAGTTGTGTGTGAGTGAGGTGTGTTAGAGGGTCGGGTGTGTAGGCTCAGTGACGTGACTAGTTGTGTGTGAGTGAGGTTTGTTGGAGGGTCGGGTGTGTATCGGTGACGTGACTAGTTGTGTTTAGTGAGGTGTGTTGGAGGGTCGGGTGTGTATCGGTGACGTGACTAGTTGTGTTTAGTGAGGTGTGTTGGAGGGTCGGGTGTGTATCGGTGACGTGACTAGTTGTGTTTAGTGAGGTGTGTTAGAGGGTCGGGTGTGTAGGCCCTAACCCTGAAAAAAAGGAGTCAATGGGAAAACATTTGCTTTTCGCGGCGACGGAACACCCGTCCACGGTCCAATCAAACAAAACCAAACCAAAAAACAACAAAAGAAGTCCCTGGGAAAACATTTGCTTTTCGCGTAACCCCAAACCAACCACGAGTGCGCCTGCGCCGGACAAAGACGGATTTTCGCCAGGGACGGGTGCTCCCTCGCGGCCAGTAAACACCGTCCTGGCTTGGTTCCAATCAGATGGGCGAGCGCCCGTCCGACCGCGAGGAACCTTGCTAGCTCGGCTTAGGGCAAACTGAAAGCGAGTGATTTATAATTTGACGGCACGTCGGCATTATCAGGCGAAAAGATGACTGTTTAGGTTAAATTCTTCAAAATAATATTTCATACTGGTAAGACATCAGAAGAATGGTTGGTTAAATGGGGTTTAAATTAAGCCAATTTAGAAGAAGGGTAAGCCTTTGTTACTACAAACTACAAACCACTTCTATGAACACTTGTAAGATGCTATGGTAAGGTTTTTACTTTTCTTGTTAACAATATATTCACAACTTTCATTGAAGTAAATGGATATTATTTTATCTGAAGTCTAAACTGGTTTCAGAAAGAACTACTCTGCAATTCTGAGAGTGCTGGCGCAAGACTACAGGATGTCAAGAACTACCACACCAAATCAGAATCAGTCGTTTGGCCAGTAGCTTTCGTAGAGAAAGATGAAATGTAGATTGAGAGATCTGGCAGCTGTGTTTGGATGATCTTGTGTGATATTTGATGATTTTGTCAAATGTACATCTGTTGAGAAAATTAAAAGTGTCCAAGTTTTTCCAATATTTAGTGTTGTCTTTTTGAACAGGATGATATATAATATTTATTTACTGTAACCTACTTTATCAACACACAACAAAACTAAAATAATAGTTATAGCCTTTCTTCCCGTAATACAACGTCACCAGAAAGTCTATAATCTATACATTATATAATCAAAAGAAATAGAAGAAATGCACCAACAGGAAGTGACGTCAGCAGAAGAAACGTATTTCTTCTGCTGATAATTATTATTTTGTGGTGTGTACTAGCTACTGTTTACTGAAACCTACGTTATCAACCCACCACAAAACTAAAATAATATTTATATCCCAAATAGAGAGATACTACCAGATATTTAACAGAAAATGCATGGATTCTGCAAAATGTATATAGGAAATTAACGTTTTATGTAATAGACATCATCGAAACATCATAAATGCAAACAATAAACCTCATTTTGTCAAAACATCAGTTGTGTAAGAGGCAGGGGTTTTACTGTGTACATAGTGGTCAAAGAACACTGATCTTGTCTTCCAGCGACCCATGCGCATAATTGTATCTGGTTCAAACCTCATGTCTATAGCCTTAGTCGCCCCCGTCGGCCTAGAAGATGTGGCTGTATAACATCCACCTAAACCTGCTAATCTGATTGCTTCGTTTAGGATCGAACCGACTGTAGCAGCAGTTATTGCCTTGTAAGGTCGTTGCAGTGTTAGAAATACTGGCATATCCTGTTTGGGCCTAACACCATTTGTCCGTTCTATGTACACTTTAAGAGCTTTAACTGGGTTAACTGTTCTATGATCCTGGTGGGAGATGTACCTCGAATCCTGACCTGTCAGTGTCATTCTTTATACCATGCAACCATATGGTTGCGCTATCATCATCATGGAAAAGTACATCATCAGTTGAAAATACCACTGCTTTTGTCACATTGTCATTGGGATCAAACACAACGCCTTTAGGGGCTATGTCCGAGGGTCTCAACATTAATGTTAAAGACAACAATACAATAACCTTTAACCTTAACAATTTAAGCTGTAGATGCAGATTGTTTGGCCATTGACGAAATAAATTGATAAACGGTTCCACAGGCATGATCTTTGACCGTTTACGGGGTTGTAGAGTATTAGATTAAATCAATGCTTTGATCATCATATTGACTCCATAATTGTCCAAAACTGACATTTGAACAAGTGAGTGAGAGCAGCGACTGTTGTCTATATTTGAGATAATAGTCTAGATAAACTATCAGCTTTTGAGCGCAAATATTCAACTATAGTTATTTCATCACATCTCGGAAATGACCGTTCATTATCATGACAAAATTGTTGTAGTTTCTGAATAGCTCCGTTGTACACTTTAAAAGTGCTTGGTGCCAGACAAAGCGGTAGATGACTTTTGGCCCTGTCTGACCAACCTTTTTGTTCTAGATTCCGTCTTCACACACTCTCCAGGCGTATAGGCGTCATTTGTGATTTCTCAAAGGTTCCACCTTGCTCGTTGAACTTAGAATTGTCCAGGAGGTCTTTTGAATTCGAATTGGGGAACAGGTCAATATCGTTCTCAGTTTGTGAAACCACGGTCTGTTTCTCCACGCATGTGCTATGATTTTTCCTGGATGACCTTGTCTATGACCTCTGGTGATAGACGGAAGGGCGGATTCACAAAGTTGTTGTGAATCCCCCAGTTTGCTTGAGACAAAGCGCCCACCCCTGAACTGCCCGTGTCCCAAAATCGACTGTTGTATGTTCCGTAACCTGTCGAACTTGATACACACTGACCAGAGATGCGAGCCAACACTCTGGCCTCAATCCTACGTAAAGCAAGACAACGCCTTATGTCTTTTTTCAGTTTCCTTACCCGTGATGTTGGGATTCTCAACTAAGTCAGGCTTATCCCAATTGATAAAAAACCCAAGCTTTGAAAGAGTGTTCACTAATTGTTCGTTTTGTGATACGATATGTGCAGGAGTACTCATAAGTAGAATGTCATCTACATAACACACAACTCTCAGTCCAAGAGATCGCAGATACGTAACAACTGGTTTGAGAATTTTACAAAAATAGTACTGAGCTATTGATAAGCCAAATTGGGGAATCTTCCATCGATAAAAGGTATTTTGCCACTGAAACCCAAGATAATCTCTGTCATCTTGGTGTATGGTTTTACGCCGCTTTTAGCAATATTCCAGCAATATCACGGCGGGGGACACCAGAAATGGGCTTCACACATTGTACCCATGTCGGGAATCGAACCCATGTCTCAAGCATGACGAGCGAACGCTTTAACCACTAGGCTTCTCGACCGCCCCCGTCAGCTAGAGAGGGTATAGCCTCTGCGTTCTGGGATCCCGGGATGGTGGACTATCTTCCACAAGGCCAGGCAATACACGGAGCAGATTATGCTGCACGTATGAGACAATTATGGGATGAAATTAAGACTCAGGGACTCAAGAAGCTGCCAAAAGGTGTACTCTTCCACCAGGACAAAGGGACACCCACCTTGTTCTCCTCACCTGGCTCAGGCAGACTTCCACCGTGATTCTGAACATGAACAAAACTCATTTCGACTCCACCGATAACGTCATAGCATCCGTGGAGAACATTTTGGACAGCCAAGAGAAGGACTTCTTCGGAACTGGGATAAAATCCCCCCAACATCGTTGTAGATGTGTGTCAATGTGAAAGGGGATTATGTTCGTCCGACGCAAATATTGTTTTTGAACGGGTGGCCCAGTCGTCAAGGGTGCAGCAATTCCACGTGCAGAGTTGTGTCCTTTGGGACTCGAGAAACCTATGATTGTGGGTTTGAATCCCGGATAGCCCTGATTATGTTTCTAGATTTGTCAGCTTTATACCCGTGCTTGTGGGTTTCACCAAAGTGGTAAACGTCTAAGACCTGCATCACTTCGGGCTTTCCTCCCACATTAAGATGGCACGCCACGATATGACTGGAATACTGTCCATAGCGGCGTTAAACTCAAGTATCTCTCAATCCAAGGATTGCTGAATACCAGGATTCGTAAATTCTTTGTTTATCCGGTGATTTCTTAATCACTTGACTATTTATGACTGCTTAATCCTGTAAATCCTGTGATTGCTTAATCCCATTATTTCTTCATCATATGATTGATATGATACATGATATGAAAACATCAACAAATCTCACACGAGATTATCCAATCACAGCTGCCATGCAGATCTCTCAATCTACATTCAGTCTTTCTCTTCGAAAGCTGCTGGCCGAACGACCCGAACGGTCTAAGATGTTTACAACTTGGGTGAAACCCACGAGCAGGGGTATGGTGGTGACAAACCTAGAAACATAATCGGCGAACCTGGATTCGAAACCACAATCATAGTTTTCACAGCGAATCGCGGCCCTTTAGACGGGCATATGTCACGTGACATGAGAGGGATGTAGAGGGGAATTCCCTATAATAATATTGTGAACATTCAGACCATGTATGTTGCTATTCAGAGCTGTAGGGCATATACACCACACCAACGCATTCAATCCCGACACTTACACGACAGAATCCATGTTAAACATAGTCAAGCATGTTTGATGTAAATTACTGCCTGTCTCTCCAGCCACATGGGTAGGTTCACGGTCACAGGATAGACTGGGCGCACACTTCCGGTAACTGCCTGTCTCTCCAGCCACATGGGTATACCAGGTTCACGGTCACAGGATAGACTGGGCGCACACTTCCGGTAACTGCCTGTCTCTCCAGCCACATGTGTATACCAGGTTCACGGTCACAGGATAGACTGGGCGCACACTTCCGGTAACTGCCTGTCTCTCCAGCCACATGGGTATACCAGGTTCACGGTCACAGGATAGACTGGGCGCACACTTCCGGTAACTGCCTGTCTCTCCAGCCACATGGGTATACCAGGTTCACGGTCACAGGATAGACTGGGCGCACACTTCCGGTAACTGCCTGTCTCTCCAGCCACATGGGTATACCAGGTTCACGGTCAAAGGATAGACTGGGCGCACACTTCCGGTAACTGCCTGTCTCTCCAGCCACATGGGTATACCAGGTTCACGGTCACAGGATAGACTGGGCGCACACTTCCGGTAACTGCCTGTCTCTCCAGCCACATGGGTATACCAGGTTCACGGTCACAGGATAGACTGGGCGCACACTTCCGGTAACTGCCTGTCTCTCCAGCCACATGGGTATACCAGGTTCACGGTCACAGGATAGACTGGGCGCACACTTCCGGTAACTGCCTGTCTCTCCAGCCACATGGGTATACCAGGTTCACGGTCACAGGATAGACTGGGCGCACACTTCCGGTAACTGCCTGTCTCTCCAGCCACATGGGTATACCAGGTTCACGGTCACAGGATAGACTGGGCGCACACTTCCGGTAACTGCCTGTCTCTCCAGCCACATGGGTATACCAGGTTCACGGTCACAGGATAGACTGGGCGCACACTTCCGGTAACTGCCTGTCTCTCCAGCCACATGGGTATACCAGGTTCACGGTCACAGGATAGACTGGGCGCACACTTCCGGTAACTGCCTGTCTCTCCAGCCACATGGGTATACCAGGTTCACGGTCACAGGATAGACTGGGCGCACACTTCCGGTAACTGCCTGTCTCTCCAGCCACATGGGTATACCAGGTTCACGGTCACAGGATAGACTGGGCGCACACTTCCGGTAACTGCCTGTCTCTCCAGCCACATGGGTATACCAGGTTCACGGTCACAGGATAGACTGGGCGCACACTTCCGGTAACTGCCTGTCTCTCCAGCCACATGGGTATACCAGCTTCACGGTCACAGGATAGACTGGGCGCACACTTCCGGTAACTGCCTGTCTCTCCAGCCACATGGGTATACCAGGTTCACGGTCACAGGATAGACTGGGCGCACACTTCCGGTAACTGCCTGTCTCTCCAGCCACATGGGTATACCAGGTTCACGGTCACAGGATAGACTGGGCGCACACTTCCTGTAACTGCCTGTCTCTCCAGCCACATGGGTATACCAGGTTCACGGTCACAGGATAGACTGGGCGCACACTTCCTGTAACTGCCTGTCTCTCCAGCCACATGGGTATACCAGGTTCACGGTCACAGGATAGACTGGGCGCACACTTCCGGTAACTGCCTGTCTCTCCAGCCACATGGGTATACCAGCTTCACGGTCACAGGATAGACTGGGCGCACACTTCCTGTAACTGCCTGTCTCTCCAGCCACATGGGTATACCAGCTTCACGGTCACAGGATAGACTGGGCGCACACTTCCTGTAACTGCCTGTCTCTCCAGCCACATGGGTATACCAGGTTCACGGTCACAGGATAGACTGGGCGCACACTTCCGGTAACTGCCTGTCTCTCCAGCCACATGGGTATACCAGGTTCACGGTCACAGGATAGACTGGGCGCACACTTCCTGTAACTGCCTGTCTCTCCAGCCACATGGGTATACCAGGTTCACGGTCACAGGATAGACTGGGCGCACACTTCCGGTAACTGCCTGTCTCTCCAGCCACATGGGTATACCAGGTTTACGGTCACAGGATAGACTGGGCGCACACTTCCGGTAACTGCCTGTCTCTCCAGCCACATGGGTATACCAGGTTCACGGTCACAGGATAGACTGGGCGCACACTTCCGGTAACTGCCTGTCTCTCCAGCCACATGGGTATACCAGGTTCACGGTCACAGGATAGACTGGGCGCACACTTCCGGTAACTGCCTGTCTCTCCAGCCACATGGGTATACCAGGTTCACGGTCACAGGATAGACTGGGCGCACACTTCCGGTAACTGCCTGTCTCTCCAGCCACATGGGTATACCAGGTTCACGGTCAAAGGATAGACTGGGCGCACACTTCCGGTAACTGCCTGTCTCTCCAGCCACATGGGTATACCAGGTTCACGGTCACAGGATAGACTGGGCGCACACTTCCGGTAACTGCCTGTCTCTCCAGCCACATGGGTATACCAGGTTCACGGTCACAGGATAGACTGGGCGCACACTTCCGGTAACTGCCTGTCTCTCCAGCCACATGGGTATACCAGGTTCACGGTCACAGGATAGACTGGGCGCACACTTCCGGTAACTGCCTGTCTCTCCAGCCACATGGGTATACCAGGTTCACGGTCACAGGATAGACTGGGCGCACACTTCCGGTAACTGCCTGTCTCTCCAGCCACATGGGTATACCAGGTTCACGGTCACAGGATAGACTGGGCGCACACTTCCTGTAACTGCCTGTCTCTCCAGCCACATGGGTATACCAGGTTCACGGTCACAGGATAGACTGGGCGCACACTTCCGGTAACTGCCTGTCTCTCCAGCCACATGGGTATACCAGGTTCACGGTCACAGGATAGACTGGGCGCACACTTCCTGTAACTGCCTGTCTCTCCAGCCACATGGGTATACCAGCTTCACGGTCACAGGATAGACTGGGCGCACACTTCCGGTAACTGCCTGTCTCTCCAGCCACATGGGTATACCAGGTTCACGGTCACAGGATACACTGGGCGCACACTTCCGGTAACTGCCTGTCTCTCCAGCCACATGGGTATACCAGGTTCACGGTCACAGGATAGACTGGGCGCACACTTCCGGTAACTGCCTGTCTCTCCAGCCACATGGGTATACCAGGTTCACGGTCACAGGATAGACTGGGCGCACACTTCCTGTAACTGCCTGTCTCTCCAGCCACATGGGTATACCAGGTTCACGGTCACAGGATAGACTGGGCGCACACTTCCGGTAACTGCCTGTCTCTCCAGCCACATGGGTATACCAGGTTTACGGTCACAGGATAGACTGGGCGCACACTTCCTGTAACTGCCTGTCTCTCCAGCCACATGGGTATACCAGGTTCACGGTCACAGGATAGACTGGGCGCACACTTCCGGTAACTGCCTGTCTCTCCAGCCACATGGGTATACCAGGTTCACGGTCACAGGATAGACTGGGCGCACACTTCCGGTAACTGCCTGTCTCTCCAGCCACATGGGTATACCAGGTTCACGGTCACAGGATAGACTGGGCGCACACTTCCGGTAACTGCCTGTCTCTCCAGCCACATGGGTATACCAGGTTCACGGTCAAAGGATAGACTGGGCGCACACTTCCGGTAACTGCCTGTCTCTCCAGCCACATGGGTATACCAGGTTCACGGTCACAGGATAGACTGGGCGCACACTTCCGGTAACTGCCTGTCTCTCCAGCCACATGGGTATACCAGGTTCACGGTCACAGGATAGACTGGGCGCACACTTCCGGTAACTGCCTGTCTCTCCAGCCACATGGGTATACCAGGTTCACGGTCACAGGATAGACTGGGCGCACACTTCCGGTAACTGCCTGTCTCTCCAGCCACATGGGTATACCAGGTTCACGGTCACAGGATAGACTGGGCGCACACTTCCTGTAACTGCCTGTCTCTCCAGCCACATGGGTATACCAGGTTCACGGTCACAGGATAGACTGGGCGCACACTTCCTGTAACTGCCTGTCTCTCCAGCCACATGGGTATACCAGGTTCACGGTCACAGGATAGACTGGGCGCACACTTCCG